CACCTCCCATCTCATGGGATTTCAAAATTCATTACGCAAAACCTTGTGCTGTAAGCTTCAATTCGAGGGTGAGGATTAGAAAATGATAAGATACTTGTTATATAGTTTTTTAAAATATATTTAGTTTCCTATTTTTAGTTATTCTATTCTTATTCAGATATCTCTATAACAACCATGTGCTATTTCTTTAGCATAAGAATGCACTAGATCTAAAGATACTTGATTCCAGCCCTTAGTTTTTTGTTAAGGGGCAGTCGCTGCTTCCTAATAAGGATTTGGGAAACCTCATAGATTTTTTACTTGATATGTAATTACTTTTATATGCAAATTACATTTCTTTGGTACTTTATTATATTATAAAATAAAATATATATCTTTTATTCTCAAAAAAGAGAAAGAATGCATTGCTTCACACAAGCAGCATAAACATCTCTTGCTTCAGTATAATGAAAAATGTCATCTTAAAAAAAGTTTGCTTGATATGTAAATACTTTTGTATACAGGTTGCACCTTTTTGATGTTTTATTATATAATATAATAGAATATATATCTTTTATTCTAAAAAAAAGAATGCACTTGCTTCACAGAAGCAGAATAAACACCTTTCTTGCTTCAGTACAATGAAAAATGTCATCTCAAAAAAAAAAATTTGTTAGTCAATAAACCTGCCAGCAGAGAAAAATTTTAATGCTTACAAGTATATTAAAAGAAAAACCTCAAATGAAAAGGAAAACAAAAGTTTTCACCCGCCCCTTGCAAATTAGAAATTTGCAAACTAGACTGGAATCAAGCAAAAGAATAACTAAATAGATAATAATAAGGGAAAATTCTGAAGTACTTACAAACCTAAATGTTCAACTACTGCTGAGAAATGACCCCAACATGAATCACGCCATGGAACCAGACCAAGTCTGTTCCCGTATATATCAGCTAAGGCAACTGCAATTGCTAATAGTTGTAAAACCAAAAAGTATATGACTGTAGGGGACTTCCAAGACTGGAGTCTGCAAAAGCATACAAACGAGACAAAATATTGTGTAAAGCAAAGGCCACAAGAAGGTTAGCAAGAATAATACTAAAAGAAAAGGACAAGTAATTCTTACATCATAAATCCAATTATCTCAGCGCACCATACACTTCCTGTACTCCATTTATAACCCACAACAGCCCATATAACAAGGTATACTACTTGAGCAAGAATAACAACTAAAGAAAAGATAATAACCAGCCACAATAATGAAAACCTCCTCCGGAAACGAAATCCTACAAAGAAAAGAGAGAGAGAGAGAATAAGAAGGAAACATGCTACTTTATTAAAAAAAAAAATCGAAATACAAAGTGGATATGATATTTATCATAATTCTTTTTACTACTTTACAAGCATGACCAACTAACTTCTGTGATATTGATCAACATATGATATTGAGTTCCACAAGCCAACAACATCATACTCATTTCTTCTAAACTAATTTACTAACAGTCATTTAGGACTTGATTTTTTAAAAAAATAAAAGAACTTTATAGAAGAGAAAGAGAATATACAAAATAATTAGTCATGTAGGACTCAAAATGAAATCTCAACCCGAGAGAAGCCAATTCAAGTCAAATTCGTACTTAAAAGTCAAGATGCTCTTTCTCAATCATATGACATATATTGTTTGACAACTCTAGTAAAATTCCTCGTTGATCTTTGGGAACTGGCCTTGCATGCACTCTACATTTCTTTCACATCCTCCAGTTTTCAGTAAACTACATATGTAAGTCTCTTCAAATACAGAAATGAGAGACTATGGGAAAACTTGTTACTGCAGAACTGCTACAGTTGAGTCTCGAGAAGATGATAATCTACCATCATAATTAACCAAAAAAATGAACATTGACAACTGATTGTGGTTCCTTAATTTATCATACTCTTCCATCAATAATAAAACAAGATCTGGAGAAAGAAAATTATATGTTCTCGTTTTTTCAGTCAATGCCAGAAAGTAAGGTTTGATAGAACATCAGAAACACCTGATCCCCCAACCCAATGCAGGAAAAAAGCAATACTGGGATATGATCAGAAACTACAAAACTTAAAGAAAATGATAAAATGGAACCATGACAGGTTACCCTCATAATGCAACTTACCTATTTTTGGTGCAGTATATTGTATAATGAGGAAAGCAATCAAATCAACAAATGAGATCAAACTCCAATTGATCGACGCAGCTGTAGCAAAAAGGAAAACATATAAGTTCAGATATCATTCTTTCATGAAGTGAGCACGTATACACTATGCATTTATATCAATATGAAATGACAACACCTAGAAACTCAGATATTAACTACAGAATGCAACTCGTGAATGTTGGCAAAAAGTAATCTTGAACAGACAAGTATGTGCACTTGCATTCAGATAAATAATCAGAGAGCTGGAGACAGGAAGAGACCAAAGCACAACATCATTTGCTATAGATATTAGTTTTTTATCCACCATATTTCTCTATATAACGCAACAGAAATAAAAGTAGTCACAGACTGACAAGTAGATGCACATGCATGCAGATAACTGATGAGAGTCGGATACAGGAAGAAACCAAAGCAGAATAGCGTCTTCTTTACCCATTAGTTTTCTATCCACAGCACTTCTCTACATAACATAGGCAACAGATATAAAGCTATCTTCTTATAAGAATGATCAAGGATTTATTCTGTGACTACGTAAGACAAGCATTCTAGAAAGCTCCTTACAAATTTCTTGATGCTTACCAAAGGCAGCAACTTACAAAAAGATGACCTTAAAGACAATTATAATCTGCACCCACAATGAATACAACCATATTGACAAATATTAAATGATCTCAAAAACTCATTCTTAGGTTTTGTATTGACTTAGACATTGTCTATCTTCCCTATTTTGCATTCTTTAAGAGTGTACAAGTTAGCTCATGTTACTCCATGAACATCACGCCGCTTTCAACCCAGTCAAACTACATATCCATATCTGACACCTCACAGCAGAGGATGGTAGTAACTTTTTCCTAAATGTCAATGCATGTTGCGAATTTGAACAAAAAATAAACTCATGCAGTTACTCCTTTGAGCATCAGGTAGGAAGACCCATAACACAGCTACGGTGGAAGCTTCAGCTATTCCATAAAGGATATCATGATGCACAGCAATTGATACTGCTCCCATTTGTCACTTGAGGATGAGTGCACCAGAAATAGTCATGATTGAATCAAATATCAAATATCTTAATAAAACCTGTAATTGTGCATCAATGGAAACCCAATTCTTACTCTCAGTAAATTCAACAGAAGCCCTTTGCCCTCTAATTTGCTTGCTACTCAATGATCAAAGCCCTGTTTAGTCTCAGATCAAACAATTTCAACATGTGAAATTTTCTCCAAATATTTTGACCAAATACAGACTTGCTAGAAATGCCTGTGCATGGTCAGATTAATGCTAAAGCTAAATTATGGAACCATTCTCCACATAACTTCAGCTGCACATCACGTATCTTAGACTGCCTTGAATACTCAAACGGTCTCCATTCTCCAAGGGTTCCTTCCGGCCCAAACCATAAGTTAAACATCCCACTGTGCTCATGAGTCCAGTTCTTATAAAAATCCTATGTACGTAAAAACTGTACTAATCATAGTCCGTATAAGTCACGAAAACTAGCAATCCTCTGCATGTCTGGCCAGCTCAAATTACCATCAAACAATTTAATTTCCCCATGAAACAATCAGACTGTATTTGCTAGGAAGGATGAAGAAAACAGACTTCAATCAATTTGCCATCAAAACCAAAGATATGAACCATTTAAAGCCCCGGGTGTAATAAATACCAAATTCCACTGATTCTAATATAGAAAGAAAGTAAAAAACAAAGAAATAGAAATTTAAGGGAAAGAACAAGCATATACCTGCTAATAGCAGCAAAGGCAAAACAAAGCCCACCAAAAAATTCGCCATGAATTCCCTCTGCCACCCAACACGATCATGCAGCTCTCACCATCTCTGCAACCCAATCTGATAAAATCCGTCAATGGGTTTTCAGTTTCTACCGAAATCAATAAAACCCATTTCCAAAACGAAGAATCCAAACTCTCGCATACCCGAGAATCTGACACGAAGCTAAGAAGCCGTTCCCCGTTCAAGAACAGCGATGAATCAGAAAATTCCTTCTCTGGGTTCTCTAAGGATCCGTCAACACGAGCGTTAATCAACAAGAAAAATGTCTAGGTACTAACTACTGGTCTAAAGAAAGAGAGAGAGAAAGTATTTGCGTTCATTGGGAAAACAAATACATGATGTTTCTTGTAGCCAAAGGGAGAAATTAAAAGCTAAAAACACCATGCTTTCAGGAGCATGAAGCTCTTTTTCGAGGTGGAAATATAAAATTATTATTATTATTATCATTGTTATATATATATATATATATATACATAACATTACCCAGTAACATTATGACAGAATCATTATTTGTTTTTCAAAATCAAAATATTTACAACAAAAATGATGCAAAATCTGACATTTTTTGCTGTAATGCCCAGATTTGTTGACCAATAGAGTTCAGGATTTGGTAATTTGACATTTTCCAATTTTAGGCAGAAGAGAGGCCTTTCTTATCATCTTGTGCCCGGTAGCCTTCCTTTTTCTTTTTTAATAATGCAAAAATAAGTATTTTATTATGTATTTATTAATTAATTTTTTAACTTTTATTTAATTAAAAATAAATATTTTATAATAAATAAAATATGGCTTTTTAATTCCCTATAATTATTTCATTTCCATTTGTTATTACATTAAATTTTTATTTGACTTAAGTGGATAATCCCAAAAAAAGTGAATTATAAAAATTTAAATTTTGGCATAATTATGTATATTTATATATATATATATATTACTTTATTATATAAGTAATTCAATAAACAAATTACAAACATTAAAATTATTATCGAATTGGATCAATCTTTTTGTTCAAGAACATCACAATTTTTTTTAAAAAAATAAAACATTAAATTATAATGAAAAACAAAATAATTTTGATCAAATTAATAAATGAATTTTGTTTTTTAAACTTTTCCAAAATTGTAGTTTTTCAAATGAATTTGGATCAATTTCTTCTAGATTTCATGTATTTTTCTTTTTTAAATAAATATTTTACGTGTCAATAAATAATTAAATAATATTTCAAAAGCAATTTTAATAATTTGTTTAAAATATAATATTATTTTAATTTTTTTAATTATCGGACTTAATTGTAATTAGACCGAAATCTAATAATTTTTCATAATTGAAAAACCAATATTTTAGTTTTCGATTGAATTCAAATTTACCCATTTAAGTTATTTGTAAATGTAATAATTATAGATTATTCCCTCATAATAATAATATAATTTATACATAGCCTTTTAATGAGTTATTCATAATAAAAATGCATAAAACTTATTAAATAAATTAATAATTGATTTTGATAAAAATGATTTCAAAATATTTTTTTCTCAATTTTTATGTGTGGAGAAAAATCTTAAATAATTTAAAATAAATATTTTAAAGATGTATTTTTAAATAATAATTATTATTATGAGTTGGTAACTCATTTAATTATTTACAAAAATAAATAATTAAGTTTATTATTGCAATTTTATTATTAAATAAAGGATATTATGGACCCTCCAATTTCACTTTTCTTTATTAAAAAAAAAAAAATTGGTTTGGAAACGACGTCGTTTAGTTCTTCAGGAAAGGCAAACCTTTGGCCCACGTTTTTTCCTTATCCAGGTTCGTTTCTCTGCTAACTTCATCTTCTAGAGTTGGGCAGAAAATGTACTCGGCCATCTTTCTCTGCAACTCTCACCTTCCGGTTCGTCTCTTAACCGGTCCAACAGTAAAAAATGCCTTACCTAGTTTAAGATTGGGAAGTAAAAGTTTGAAACTCTACGCAAATGCAAACGAGGTGGAGACGCGGACTGCAGAGGAATCCCAAGAAGAGGTTAAAGTGGAGCAGGAAGGCAAGGAAACAAGCAAAGCTTCTACCAGTTCATCTCCCTCTGCTGCTCCAATTGACAAGGATCTGAAAAAGGTTGGTTCATGATTTAGAACGGGAGATTTCAGTTGTTAGTGTAAATGGTCTTTTGATGGCTGAAATTTGAACTTCAAACTGCAACCCCTAGAAATTTATATTAATGGCCCCTGCAAAACCAAATTCACCTATTAATCTCTTGAAGAATTGTGTACTGTTTTGTCAGGATTGTTGTTATGCAGTTGAGAAAAAATGATTTAGATTACAGAATAGACCAAAATCGTAGTTTCTTAATGTGGTATTGGATCCCATGTATGCTCCAGGTTGTTCAGAAGACAGCTGCAACATTTGCCCCCAGAGCATCTACAGCTACCAAAAACCCTGCTGTGCCTGGAACTGCCTTATACACTATTTTTGAGGTTCAAGGATACGCTTCAATGTTATTAGGAGGAGTTCTATCTTTCAATCTTATATTCCCATCAAATGAACCAGACATTTGGAGATTAATGGGGATGTGGTCCATATGGATGTTTAGTAAGTGCTGTTTTCTTTTTATTGTCATCAATGAATTATTGCATATATGTGTCTGTTGCTTCTTTCTGGAAGGTGATTAGCTCATTGTTGATAGCAACGGATTACTCATCTGAGAAATCAGTTGTTTCTAATGGGATTCAAATCAATGCATAAACTGTTGTTATGAGGTTGGTGATTTTGGCATAGGGTGGTTTCTTGCCCTCTTTGGATTAAATCACATGAATTTTCCAGGGATATTCCTATTATCTAGCTCGGGAAAGAATTGGAATGCCCTTTTATGTTGATCTCTCCCTTGTTCCTTACTCTAATTTAATAGGTTATTTCTTGTTTTATCTTATGGGTTCTTTATTGTTTTCTATCTTGATACAATCTTTGTCTTATATACGTGGTTGTACAAGTATGTATTTTTTATTCTGAGATTAGCTGATAACTTGATATTGGATTTGGTAATAATCCTGTTAAATTATCATCATTCATATCAAGTCAGTCAATTTCTCAAAATCTATAGTTATTTTGCTTGTTCATAATCTGCAAGATATTTCACTCTGCAGACCCACAAAGTCCTTGAGAATAACAAATCGATCTGTTTGTTTCTTGATTTATGGTTGGTGTAACTTTAAGGTTCTTCGTATGCATAATCATACTCCCAAATGGGCTCCCATCACTAATGCAATCTTTCATTTGCAGCAATTCCTTCCCTTAGAGCTCGAGACTGCTCAAATAAAGAGAAAGAAGCTCTTAACTATCTGTTCCTCCTCATTCCATTAATCAATGTCATCATCCCTTTCTTTTGGAAGTCCTTTGCAGTTGTTTGGTCAGCTGACACCTTAGCCTTCTTTGGAATGTATGCGTGGAAGGTATTGTTGCCACGGAACTTTGAAATTTTAATTAGTTTCAACTGCCAGTGTCAACGCTAACACAAGTATTTTGTCTTCCAGCTCGGGTGGCTACAAAGAAATGAGTAGAGTCCTCGCAACCCCCTTCCCATTTTTTGTATATGGGTGGAATCCCTCAGTGCCTTGTTTATAATATATACACACATGTTTGCTGCAAAATTTGCACAAAGCTTAGTTTTGTAGTGAAATGCACAGAGATTGGAATGTTATGTAATTGATAGGGGAACCAATTGCCTCACAGATACAAGCAGATACACCATCTTGTCATCTTGGCAAATTATCAATTTGATAAGTAGTTATCTTTTCTTGTGGCTTTGGGAAGTCTATCACTTTGTCTTTTCATTTGATATTTATAAAGATTGAAAAGCCTTCCAATACAGAGAAGCGAAATTCTTTCTTCTGAATGAATAACACATATTTATAAGAAATAATTCAGATTGGCAATTTACAAGAAGCTTCTCACCTATCTAGATGCAAGGTCAACGCAATGGCTAATTCAAAAAAACACCAATCTGTAATCGAAAGGGACTAAATTTTCGAAGGACAAGAGCACAATTAGATGCATACTGCAAGTATATTTGATTGTCTACTTGTTAATAATTTTTCTCCACATTGATATGCCATGTCCAATGTCCATGGAGACCAAATTCATGTCTGTTAACTCTCCCCGGTCTTAATATCAGTTGGCTCCAGCTGAAAAAAAAAACAAGCGCGCGGGTTTCTTAGCTGCAGAAAAAACAAGTGTTTCTGATAAAATCAAATGCATCAATAACAGAATATTTTAGAGAGAAAGATACTGCATAAATATGAAACAGAAGAACAGACTGCAATCCATAGCTGCAGAAGATTATTGTAAAAATCCAGCTAACGAAAACAAAGGGTAAACACTGTTTAAGGACCAATATAAAATCCTAGCTTTCACATGTCTAAGCCAAAAAAATTCATCAGGTTTTCTCCTGAACAGGACAGCAAGCAAGGTTTCTGGGAAAATTCAGAAGCAGCACAAATTCATTGTTGTGCAATACTTAAATGTTATGACATCGACCTAAAAACGAAATCATTTTTTTTTAAATAAACCTAAAAATGAAATCATACATTCAACAAGCACCTAATGCAGAACCTTTTCTTTCAAAAATCAATTTTTTTCCCTCCCTGTGCAGCAATCACTTATATTGAGTATTTTCCACATAGTACTCATTGTTCTATAGTCCCCAGCCAGAATTCCTGCTTTGATTTTGATTGGTTCCTATCTTTTATTTAAGTAAATATGTAACCGTAGTCCATAGTTATATTGTTTCATAATACTGAAGTTCATATTATATCTGGAAATCAAGCTGTTGCTTTAGATTCTTCCTCCTAAGTGTTAATTTCAGTAGGACACAACAAAAGTTAAAGTGTCATTGCACGTATAGAACAACAAGAAACCTGTGGTACATTTGGAAATTATTGAATCGGAAACTTAAATACATACCTAAACC